GAGTAAAGTCACAAAACCTTTTTGATCTCCTGATATTATATAGTCCTATTGTTTCAATGTTATTGAGGATGACGACGTTTAGCTCTGCGATACCCGGTGATTGGTTCTTTTTTATGGCTGTATCTCCTCTTCCCCTTAGGACTGTAGTTCGACCCGCAAAAAAAAGATGCAATTTTGTTACTGTCTGATGCAAAAGGTTGAAACTTTTTTAAGTAAAGTTATAGAATATTCCTGAAAGATGTTTAAAAGCTTACTTGGAGACTGCAGAAAGTAATTTGATGATGAATATGAGAGGGAATCCAACTAAAGCTGTTGCCTATTGAAGAACAGATATAATAAAAAGGGCTTAAACTATAACTTAGTAGAATTTATATACACATTTGCAAATGGTAGAAAACACATACCGCAACCCAAGCTAAATCCATGGTAGCAACCGGTTTCGTGACCTCATTGTTCTTCAGCATTTCTTGAGCCTTGGTTTCAACAGAACGAGCTTATTAAGCTCTGCTACTATGATTATGAATTAAAGAAACTAACAGGCAACATGATGGGTTTATATACCTGCTGATGGTAGAGTTTAGTCGAGTTAACCAACTTCTTAAAGCCATGTCTTAAATTTACAGTATATGGCTCTAAGGCAACTTGTACCCTCTCCATGTGTGGTTTTGCTATGGTCATAATTTGACTAGTGTATGGGTGTGTATGTCTCCTGATTACCTAGAACAACAGACAATGGTCCACAATGGTTTAATGTAATGGCCAAGAGAAGTAGATGAAAAGAGTAAAGATGGAAATATATTAACCTCAAGATAGTAGTATGAAACGTCTAATCCGTGGATGAGATGTGGTGTCAAAGCCTGTTTAGACGTATATAACACCTCGATGGACTTATCGGTTAAATATTGTACTTTTGGTTCGAGATAAATTGTTAATGTTACACAAGCATCTTTGATGCTTGGAATCCATTTCTGCAAACCAATGGAGAACAATTCTCAGATATCGGTATCAAATGAATGGAAGTAAATAAGTGTGTGAAGTAAGAATCATCAAACTCACTGAGTTCAAGGCTTCAATGTGAGGCTCTGACCATTTCTGGACTTGGTCAATTTTCAGGGACACCTGAAGAAAAGGACTTCCCTTTAGAGAGAAACTGAAGACTTTCAGGGCTAATTGTGAATCGAAAACAAACCTTTTGAAGAGTGATATGAAGTGTTGGGCTAAGATGTTGTTGCCATAAAGTCATTAGATATGCCTGCAACCATGAAAAAAGGTGTTTTAGAAGAGTAATCACAAAGATTACGCGAGGTTATGCGTCATAAAGCTTTTCGATTTACCTGAGTTTTAATCGGGTTAAGACCAAGCTTAGACGAGAACCACTTCCCATCGATCTGAATATAAGATAAAAGTACATTCAGCTCTTGTATTTGTACATCAAAAATCCTCGAGACACCATAACTCTTACATTTTCAAGCTTTGAGCTAAGTTCTGCAACTTTCTTATCTGCGATTTCAGCTCGAGTTTCCACTTCGAGCCTTCTCTTACGTTGCAATTCCACTTCTCGCTTAAGTCCAAATACCTGCCAATGTAGAAGTATCATAAAACAGATTGAATCATAGGTAATGAAGCAAAAGGCAATACTCAACTCAAACTACAAAACCAACCTGTTTCTGAAGTTCATAAACCTTTCTTTCTGATTCACTCTCGTGCTTCAGCAAACTATCAGACTGATAAACAAAGCAAAGTCAAATAACTTTCTTCTACATCTTTTTAACAAATTACTCAAATTGAAATAAATGAATCTAAAATCTCACTTGGGAAAAATCTATTTCACTCTCAAACAAGTAAGATTTCTCCTTGATGAATAACTCCAAGGCTTGAATTTTCTCTTCTTTACTAACCAATTCTTGGTTTTTTTCTTTAATGATTGATTCTTTTAACACAACAACACACACAAAACACAATTTCAGAGTTTAGTAATAATATGATGATGCAAGCTGAGAAATTGTAAAAGTCGTAAACGTTACAAGTCATTCCAGAAACAGAACGAAAGCTGAATATTCATAACGTCTTTCGCTTTCAAAAGAGAATAAAAACAAAATTAAAACTTGAGGACCTACATTTACGAATTTCAACCAACATTTTCTCAAAAATCCAAACTTTTTTTTTGGTTTCCAATGAAACCGTTACAAATTTCCTAAGCAATGC